AGTCCACAGTGCTCTCTGGATATAGGTGAACTACAACTCCAAAACTCCAGGTCAATGCTCACCAAACCCTTCCAGCATTTTCTGTTGGTCGTGGGAATTCTGTGTGCAAGTTTGGTTTAATTCCATCGTTGGTGGAGTTCAGTGTGCCCTTTGATTGTAGGAGAACTATAAATCCTAGCAACTACAACCACCAAATTTAAAGGTCTGTTTTTCCCAAACTCCACCAATGTTCACATTTGGGCATGCTGAGTATCCATGCCAAGTTTGGTCCAGATCTGTGATTGAGTCCACAGTGTTCTCTGGATGTAGGTGAACTACAACTCCAAAACTCCAGGTCCATGCCCACCAAACCCTTCCAGTATTTTCTGTTGGTCATGGGAGCTCTGTGTGCCAAGTTTGGTTCAATTCCTTTGTTGGTGGAGTTCAGTGTGCTCTTTGATTGTAGGTGAACTATAAATCCCAGCAACTACAACCCCCAAATGTAAAGGTCTGTTTTTCCAAAACTCCACCAGTGTTCACATTTGGGCATGCTGAGTATCCATGCCAAGTTTGGTCCAGATCTGTGATTGAGTCCACAGTGCTCTCTGGATGTAGGTGAACTACAACTCCAAAACTCCAGGTCCATGCCCACCAAACCCTTCCAGTATTTTCTGTTGGTCATGGGAGCTCTGTGTGCCATGTTTGGTTCAATTCTATTGTTGGTGGAGTTCTGTGTGCCCAGTTTGGTTCAATTCTATTGTTGGTGGAGTTCAGTGTGCTCTTTGATTGTAGGTGATCTATAAATCCCAGYAACTACAACTCCCAAATGACAAAATCAATCCCCCCACAACCCCACCAGTATTCAGATTTGGGCGTATTAGGTATTTGTGCCAAATTTGGTCCAGTGAATGAAAATACATCCTGCATATCAGATATTTACATGACGATTCATAACAGKASCWAAATTATAGTTGTGAAGTAGTTATGGTTGGGGGTCACCACAACATGAGGAACTGATTTAAAGTATCGTTTCTTTTGATTTTTTGGTGGTTATGGTTAACTGAGAGTCTACTGTAATAATAAAACAGAGTTCTAATAATATGATATGATATAATATAATACTAACAATAATATGATATTATAATTATATATTTATATTACATGTAATATTACTAATAATATTACAATAGAATGTTATAGTATAATATMGTAATATTTAATACTGATATCGCACTATGCTAATCTATATAAATAAAAATGTAATGTTCGTTTGGGGGATTAACAGAACTCAAAAACCACTGGACGAATTGACACCACATTTGGACACAAGACACCTACTAACCCAAGGAGTGACCATCACTCAAAAAATTGATTTTGTCATTTGTGAGTTGTAGTTGCTGGGATTTATAGTTCACCTACAATCAAAGAGCATTCTGAACTCCACCAATGATGGAACTGAACCAAACATGGCACACTGGACTTCCATGACCAACATGGGCATTGATGGGCATTGACCTTGAGTTTGGAAGTTGCAGTTCACCTACATCTAGCGAGCATTGTGGACTCAAACAATGATGGATCTGTTCCAAACTCGGCACAAATACTCCATATGCCCAAATATGAACACAGATGGAGTTTGGGGGGAAATAGACCTTGACATTTGGGAGTTGTAGTTACTGGGATTTATAGTTCACCAACAATCTGGGAGCATTCTGAACCCCACCAATGACAGAATTGGGGCAAACTTCCCACACAGAACCCCCATGACCAACAGAAAATATTGTGTTTTCTGGTAGTCTTTGGTGACCCTTCTGACATCCCCTTGCAACTCCCCCCAAGGGGCCCCAAACCCCAGGTTGAGAAATGCTGCCTTAAGACCATCCAGTCCAACCCCTTCACCAGGGCAAGAAAACATAATCAAAGCCCTCCTGACATCCAGCCATTCACACACACACATATATGTGTATGACAGATGCAGTATCAAAGATTTTATAGGGACCCCTAAAGAAGGACAATTATATGTTGCATGTTCCAGAGTGGGCAAACTAGGCAATCTCCACATCAACTACAACTCCCAAATGACAAAATCATAATTTTTGGTCACTCCTTGTGTAGTGAGACGTTTTGTTGCCAAATTTGGTGTGATTTCGTTCATTGGTTCTTTTGTTTTTAAGGTACGCATTATTCACAGAGCATATATATATATATATAGTAAGCCACTCTGAGTCCCCTTTGGGGTGAGAAGGGCGGAATATAAATGTCGTAAATAAATAAATAAATCTAATTTTTAAGGTGAAATAAGTCTCTCCGAATGTCATGCATGTGGCCATGTAGGTGAGCATGAACGTGCAATTCGGAATTCTTCCCAAGTGGCGTCCTCCTACTTGGACAAATACCATAATATAGGCCATGTTTCTGGCCTGATTACGTGGCACCGTGCAGGGTGTTTGTACCACCCAGCGTGGATTCCTTTGCTGAACTCATCACAAAGATGTGCCATCCCCCACCATGGGACACAGAAGAACATAATCAAGTGCTAAATCTTTGGAGCTGGAAGCCTACCAGACTTTTGATGGCTTCAGCATCAGTCCAGCCATTGTGCCGGACAATCCTTGCTAATCAGGGCTATAGCAAAAAAGCTGGGAAAATAGATCTGGGGAAGCAATTATCACCTTTTGAAAAGGAGGGATAAAGCACCTTTGATTCCCCCCTTCCTCCAAGACCCCTGATTACCATCTCAAAGAAGGTGTCGCCTTCTTCAGATAGGACAGCTTTGACTCCCAAAAGGTCTTTCTTCTTTGGCTGGGGAGCAAGCCTTTGAGCTCGGGCCTTTCCCAAAAGTCCTGCGTCCTCCCCCTTCTCCGAGTTTGGGCTTTCTGGGTTTCAGAATCACAAAGCGAAAGAGAAAGGGTGGCCCTCTCCGTCCCCATGAATGAAAACGCAGGAGGAATCTGGAGAGAAGGCGAAGACTCAGGCAGTTAGTTCAAACAGTTAGCTGGCTGCTCCAAGACAGCCCTTGAAAATCAGAAAGCCGACTCCTGTTTGAGGAGCTCCATTGGCTGCCATTCATTTTCCGGTCCCAATTCAAGGTGCAGGTTCTTACCTACAAAGCCCTGAATGGGACCCATCTACCTGCGTGACCGCATTTCTGTGTACGAACCCACACGATCTCTTCGATCACCTGGAGAGGCCTTGCTCACGATCCCACCTGCATCTCAAATGCGATTGGTGGGGATGAGGGACAGGGCCTTCTCGGTGGTGGCCCCTCGACTCTGGAACTCTCTCCCTAAGGACATCAGGCATGCCCCAACGTTGGCAATTTTTAGGAGGAGCTTGAAAACGTGGTTGTTCTCTTTGATCATCTGGAGAGGCCCTGCTCTCGCTCCCTCCCCCTTTGCAGGAGCAATTGGTGAGGACGAGGGAGAGATTAACTTTGGTAATCATTTTATAAGAGCCGCCCTCATTAAGATATCGGGAAAATATAAGGACCAAATCCATAACAAGACCCCGCTTTGGATATCACCTCAGGAAGCAGTCCACGGAAGAGAAAACCCACAAAAAACATGGTTAACCTACAAAGACATTCTGAAAAAAACAAGGTGGCAAAATGATACTAAAAAAACCTGGGGAGGTCATGAGAGGGTGTCAGAGGAGTCAGCAAAGACCATCAGAAATACAATATTTTCTGTTGGTCATGAGGGTTCTGTGTCGGAAGTTTGACCCAATTCAATTGTTGGTGGGGTTTGGAATGCTCTTTGATGGAACTACACATCCCAGCAACTATAACTCAAGGTCATTTCCCCCAAACTCCACCAATGTTCACATTTGGGCATGTTGAGTATCCATGCCAAGTTTGGTCCAGACCCAACATTGTCTGAGTCCACAGTGCTCTCTGGATGGAAGTGAACTACAACTCCCAAACTCAAGATCAATGCCCACCAAACCCTTCCAGTATTTTCTGTTGGTAATGGGAGTTCTGTGTGCCAAGTTTGGTTCAGTTCCATCACTGGTGGAGTTCAGAATAATCTTTGGTTGTATGTTAACTGCGAATCTCAGCAACTACAACTCCCAAATGACAAACCAATTCCCCCCAACCCCACCAGTATTCAAATTTGGGCATATCAGGTATGTGTGCCAAATTTGGTCCAGGGACTGAAAATACATCCTGCCTATCAGATATTTACAATTATGATTTATAACTGTGGCAAAATTACAGTTATGAAGTAGCAACGAAAATAATGTTATGGTTGGGAGTAAACACAACATGAGGAACTGTATTAAGGAGTCGCGGCATTAGAAACAGTGACCTAGAAGAACCCTCCACTTTGCGTGACTGTGGAGCAAAACAAACAACTCAGCATCTGTATGCCTGTCCACAGTGCCCTGCCTCATGCGCAGAGGAAGAACTGTTTAAAGGTACAGACAATGCAGCCGCTGTTGCCCGTTTTTGGTCTAAAACTATTTAGCTGCTTGTGATACCTTTATTTTCTCAGTTTTGTACTTATATATATATGCAATGCTTTTGAAATGAAATAATAAGAAGTTCTACATAATCAATCAACCTCTAAATCAATTGTCCAATCAAGTGTGGTATAAATCCAAGTTTGTTTGTTTGTTTCATGTCAGGAGCGACTTGAGAAACTGCAAGTTGCTTCTGGTGTGAGAGAATTGGCTGTCTGCAAGGAGGTTGCCCAGGGAAAGCCCGGATGTTTTGATATTTTACCATCCTTGTGGGAGGCTTATCTCATGTCCCCGCATGGGGAGCTGGAGCTGACAGAGGGAGCTCATCCGCACTCTCCCCAGATTCAAACCTCCGACCTGTCGGTCTTAAGTCCTTCCGGCGCAAGAGTTTAACGCACTGTGCCATCAGAGGCTCCCATAAATCCAAGTAAAGTCATGGCAGACCTGATATGGAACCCAGCAGCTGCTGCCGCCACCGTCAGCGGGTGTGTTGTTGTATATTTCGTACAGAAAACAGCAAAAGGGTTTTTCCACCAGAAAAGAGACATTAAGAAACTCACCAATGCATTTAAAGGATAACTCCTGCTGGCAAAATAGGGAACAGCCATCTCCGTTGACTTTGTTCATGTCATCGCACACTTCCCCAAGGTCCCTGTGAACAGCATATGTAGATGATAAGGCAAATAGTCAGTAAGGGAACATTAGATAAAGAAATCTTCAACCATTATGGCAAGAAACATTGCAATATGTAACACAATTTTTGTTCCTGAGTTACAGATGTCATTTCCTAATTGTTTTTTCCCCCATCAAAGCATGCAGCGCAGCACATTTTGCTCTAGCTTCCCAATGGATATCTCATTGAGTCTCAACCGATTCAACCTAGTTTGTGGCAATCACAAAAATGAAGTTTCTGGAGCATAGGTAAAAGTAAAGGTTTTCCCTTGACATTAAGTCCAGTCATGTTCGATTCTGGGGTGGTCATCTCCATTTCTAAGCCAAAGAGCCAGCACTGTCCGTAGACACCTCCAAGGTCATGTGGCCAGCATGACTGCACGGAGCGCCATTACTTTCCCGCCAGAGCAGTACCTATTGATCTACTCACATTTGCATGTTTTTGAACTACTAGGTTGGCAGAAGCTGGGGCTGTTAGCAGAAGCTCACGCCGCTCCCCGGATTCAGTCAACAAGCTCAGCAGCTCAGCAGTTTAACCCACTGCGCCACCGGGGGCATAACAACTACTTTCAAACTAGGTAAAGGTTTTCCCTTGACACTAAGTCCAGTCGTGTCCGACTCTGGGGGTTGGTGCTCATTTCCACTACTAAGCCGAAGACCACCGCACCATGCATGAGTCCAGAATACAGGGAAACATTTTACTGTAAATCCACATCAAAATGATAGGAAAAAAATCAGGAACAAAGAAAGAAAATGTATATCCAAAATGGGTTCACAACAAGCAATGATCCAACAAGAATCCAAATATCTCATACAGATTTAAAGGTAATACAGTTCAGGAATAGCCAAAAATTACAAGAATAGCTTAAGTCCACAAGCACAAGGTATACTTAGTAAAAACTTGATTATGAATACAAAAACAGGAACATAGAAACTTTCAGAATACCTGAATCCAAAACCAAAGGCTTTGACTCAAAACAAGAACCAGAGAACTCAGGCCTAGCTTCTCACTCCAACGCTACGTTGCCAGAACTAACTCTTAGGTAAATACCTTGCTAATTAATAGCCACCCATGAAAGCATTTATTTTCCCATGAATTTTCTCCACAGTTTCCCCACATAATCGCTCTGACCTGCAATGCGTATTTTCTGCTCTGGTCTGTAAACAAAGACTTTTGTTGATCTCCTTAGCTCCAGGTGTTTTTGTCTTGGGAGTCTTCTGTATCATTCAGTTATCTGCCCGACTCCTTATCTAATGTTGCAGTTTCTCACTCAAACGCTACGTTGCCTGAACTAACTCTTAGGTAAACACCTTTCTAATTAATAGCCACCTGAGGCGAGGGAGAGAGACTATTTCCTCTTTAAAACCTCTTTGCTGCCTTATACTGATTCAGTTTCTTATTTTATATTGGCAGGGACTTTCTGTGTGCTGTTAAACCTTTGTACTTTATATCGCAGGCAATGAAACACTCTTGTGTATAACCAAGTAACACAGTTTATTTATAACTTCTGGCTCCAACGCTTGTGGTTATATTTGTGTTTTGCTGCAGTCTTGAGGCTTACAGTCAGTATAATTAACTTGGTTAATTTTTCTGAATAAACTATCAATGTTTCACATTCACCAACATGTTACTTGCTTTACACACTCTTGGCTGAATTATATTCTGAACTAAGGCGACACTAGCCTTCTTTATGTTCCTTAAAACTCGAGCTCTATTTAACTAACTGCTTCTCTATATCAGAAGTCTTTAACACATCTTCATAACTGCTTATTTCTATCAGGCACTCAAAAACCAACTCTACTCTTCACACACAGATTCCTAACTGTCATTTTCAAACTCCCTCACTCTAACTGCCTCTTTCAGAACCTTGGCTCCGCCTCTTTTGAATGTTCAGCTCTGCTCTCCCCAACTGTCATTTTGGCCTAGCAGCCTTTTCAAATCCTGGGCCTAAACTAATCTGCATATGACCAATCGGCTTCACATATGCAAATGAACCCTATCTCTGCTGTTGCTACCCTGTCTGTACTTATTCTTCCCTATCTGCCATATGTAAACATAGAGCTATACACCAAAACTTTAACATAGAGTAGCAATTTCACTACACCACCCATGAAAGCATTCATTTTCCCATGAATTCTCTCTACAGCTTTCCCACATAATTGCTCTGGCCTGCAATGCCTATTTTCTGCTCTGCTCTATAAACAAAGACTTTTGTTGATCTCCTTCGCTCTAGGTGTTTTTGTCCTGGGAGTCTTCTGTATCACTCAGTTCTCTGCACGATTCCTTATCTAATGTTGCAGTTTCTGGCTCCTCCGGCTAACCTTGAAGCCCTGTACTTTCCAAGTCAGATTTCTCACAAAGAGAAGCATCATTCTACTGACTTGAATCTTCATCGCTTCGTGCCCAAGGAAATCCCACAGGCAATCCCATAATCCTCTCTAAATCATCAGTGAACCCATCAGCCTCAGGCTGATCTACAACATAAATGAACCTTGCATCCCAAATATTAAGGCCCTGCAAGACCTTCAGAGCTTGTGAAATTAGGTAGAGGTAGATTTCCCATATTTACCTCTGGATGATCCCATCGCCACAATAGCCACTTCCATGGACATAGATGAGGGGTGGGGATGTTTCACTCTCTTCTGTCCCAGAAAGAACTGAGACCCAGTAAGTGTACTGGCTTCCTGCTCTTATTTCACTGCAATGGAAGAAAGAGGACATCAGCAGGGCAATAACATGCAGAATAGCTTAGACATTCAACACTAGGGAAAGAATTGTTGACAAGTCTCACTTTTAGCAGTCCACCCCTCCAATGTTTTGGGAAAGGGGTGTTCATGGGAATCTAGATTTTGACTCCAATATTCAGCACTCTCGATAACATTTATTTATTTATTATTTATTTATTTACAGCTTTTCTATTCCGCCCTTCTCACCCCGCAGGGGACTCAGGGCGGATTACAGTGTACACATATATGGCAAACATTCAATGCCAATTTTGACATACAGCATATACAGACATAGACAGAAGCTATTCAACTTTTTCTGGCTGCCAGGGGAGCTGTCGCTTTCATTGTCCATCTGCAACACTGATGAAGTACTTCAGCATTCCCACATGCTTTTGCTGAAGTCTTTATGGCCTCATAAATTAGTTAATTTAGCTTCCCCAAACTTTAAGGTGGTACCTTATTTTCCTACTTGACAGATGCAACTGTCTTTCGGGTTGCAAAGGTCGACAATGGGCTACACAATTGGTTGGAAACCCACTCCAACCCGGGCTGGCTTCGAACTCATGACCTTTTGGTCAGAGTGATAATGCAGCTGACACCCAGCCAGCTGTACCACAATCCCGGTGCATTTCTTTACTACTACTTTTTCTTTTCTTTTCAGTTTACCTGTCCAAATGTATTCTCCCCTATGAACCATCAAGGATGTTAAGATCTTCTGGAGAGGCCCTGCTCTCGGTCCCACCACCTTCGCAAGCGCGTTTGGTGGGAACAAGACAGGGCCTTCTCTGTGGTGGCCCCTCAGCTATGGAACGTATCCTCCCCTGTGAACCATCAAGATTGCTAAGATCATCTGGAGGGGCCCTGCTCTCGATCCCACCAGCCTCACAGGCGCGGCTGGTGGGAACGAGAGACAGGGCCTTCTCGGTGGTGGCCCCTCGACTCTGGAACTCCCTTCTACTGGAGATCAGAACTGCCCCTTCTATTTTAACGTTCAGGAAACAGGTGAAACTTGGCTTTGGGGATTGGCATTCGACGAATGAGTCATGATCCTGTGATATGGATGGATGATGACGAATAATGATTTTTGATGACGACTGACCACTGTAATTATATGATTGTATTTTGCTATTTTAATGTTTTAGTGTGATTTAGAATATGATGTTTTAATGACTGTCTGTAATATTGATGTTGGAAACTGGCCTGAGTCCCTCGAACGGAGGTGAGAAGACCGGTATACAAAACTGCTAAATAAATAAATAAATAATTATTTGTAAATGAGTTTTCTTCAAACTATACTCTTATAATCATAGAATCAAAGAGTTGGAAGAGACCTTGTGGGCCATCCAGTCCAACCCCATTCTGCCGAGAAGCAGGAAAATCACATTCAAAGCATGCGCGATAGATGGCCACCCAGCCTCTGTTTAAAAGCCTCCAAAGAAGGAGCCTCCATGCTCAAGAATTTCAATTTCATGGCCATCCAGCCTCTGTTTAAAAGCTTCCAAAGAAGGAGCCTCCACACTCCGGGGCAGAGAGTTCCACTGCTGAACGGCTCTCACAGTCAGGAAGTTCTTCCTCATGTTCAGATGGAATCTCCTTTCTTGTAGTTTGAAGTCATTGTTTGTCCTAGTCTCCAGGGAAGCAGAAAACAAGCTTGCTCCCTCCTCCCTGTGGCTTCCTCTCACATATTTATACATGGCTATCATATCTCCTCTCAGCGTTCTTCTTCAGGCTAAACATGCCCAGCTCCTTAAGCCACTCCTCATAGGGCTTGTTCTCCAGACCCTTGATCATTTTAGTCGCCCTCCTCTGGACACATTCCAGCTTGTCAATATCTCTTGTCCTTCAGGAGGCTAGTGAAATCCTGGTTATGGAACGAAGCATTCCCAGCATAATGGCTGAGACTGGCTACAGACCAAAGTGAGTGACCATATGTGTGGACTGAGTTGAACATGATTTAACCTTAGCGATTTGGTATATATATATGTATTTTATCTATATGTATTTTAATCTTGCATTGTTGGATGATGTTTTAACTTGTATTAGTAGCATTGAATCCTTGCTGTAAGCTGGTCTGAGTCCCTCTATGGAGGTGAGAAGATCGGGATATAAAAGTTTGAAATAAATAAGAAATAAATAATTTTAGGACACGAATGAGACTGTCTGAGCACCGACATAAGGATTTCATCATATAAAGAAAGGAGGAAACCATGAAAATGAACAAAATCTGGTTACCAGTATTAAAAAAAACCTCTAAAATTACTATAGCACAACAACAGAGAGGAAACAAACAAGGACATCTAATCACCTCTCAACAAAAGATTGCCCCAGGCACTGCCAGGCCATCAAATGCTAATCAAGGTGGTCAGTTGAAACATTCACACCTAGTTCCAGCAGACAAGAGTCCTTTGCCCCACCCTGGTCATTCCACAGATATATAAACCCTTTTTCCTAGTTCCAACAGACCTCACTACCTCTGAGGATGCTTGCCATAGATGCAGGCAAAACGTCAGGAGAGAATGCCTCTAGACCATGGCCATATAGCCTGAAAAAACGTACGACAACCCAAATAATTTCATGAAACTGTTGTATTGAATGGCAGCCAAGATAACCAATGCAAAACCGAATGCTCAACAAATTGCATTATATGGCTTTGCCCAATACATAGAGATTAAATGTTCTTCTATAGCCTGGAAATGAGTGCTGACGGAATTATAACATTGGAAGAGACCACAAGGACCATCCAGTCCAACCGTTCTTTTTGGGGTGGGGGGTCCTTTCAAACTCCCCTCTGTTCTGTCCGTCGGCTTTCTTCTTCTCCCATATACAATCTCCTGCTCCGCTCTGGAATTCCTGGCATAACTCCATCAATAGACGTCCATTGCGCTAATCATTCCACATGACCTAGCCATCTTAACCTTTCTGAGACAATTAATGATCTAGGGTTCATTAGTGTCTGTCCCTGTATGTACTCAGCCTTGCTATACATCTCTTCAGAGGAGGTGGGAAGAAAACATGTCTAGTCTCGAGCGACAGCTCCAGCGAGTCCGTGCTCAGAGTTTAATGTTGTTATTGTGCATGGCAAACAAACCCCAGTGTTTGATGTTACCCTAAACACTCGAGGTTTTCGTTCAGAACTTGAAAGGAGACATCTAAGGGTCTGGAACTTATTCTGGCCATAGGTTTCAGCAATTTGGGATAAAGTTTTGACCAAAAACCAGTTCAGGTTTATGAGCCAAGAAATAGAAGCATTCTCTGCCTGTAAAATGTCAACATGGCATGCATAGCACCTCTGTAATATGGCCCACCAAAGAGGAAGAGGTACCACTTCAGCTAATACCCAATTATTTGCTGGAAAGACAACTGAGAAATTTATTTATTTATTTATTTATTTACAACATTTATATGCTGCCCTTCTCACCCCAAAGGGGACTCAGAGATGCTTACAAGACACACACACACATATATACACACACAAACAATATATTATATTGTCGAAGGCTTTCATGGCTGGAATCACTGGGTTGTTGTAGGTTTTTTTGGGCTATATGGCCATGGTCTAGAGGCATTCTCTCCTGATGTTTCGCCTGCATCTATGGCAAGCATCCTCAGAGTTAGTGGCCCAGAGCAACACTTGGTATTGGGGGGAGGGTCCCCAACTGATGACATATGCAGGAGACAAGATGGAACTGTCTCATGGCCCCCTCTCTCTTCACTCCGACCCAGAGTGGCAGTTGGTATTGGGGGGAGGGGTCCCCAGCTGATGACATATGCAGGAGACAAGATGGAACTGTCCTCTGGCCCCCTCTCTCTTCACTCTGGCCCAGAATGGCATTTGGTGCTGGGGGGAGGGGTCCCCAATTGATGACATATGCAGGAGACAAGATGGAACTGTCCCCTGGCCCCCTCTCTCTTCACTCTGGCCCAGAGCAGCAGTTGGTCCTGGGGGGAGGGGTCCCCAATTGATGACATATGCAGGAGACAACATGGAACTGTCCCATGGCCCCCTCTCTCTTCACTCTGACCCAGAGCGGCAGTTGGGGTTGGAGGGAGGGGGTCCCCTACTGATGACATATGCAGGAGACAAGACGGAACTGTCCCCTGGCACCCTCTCTCATCATTCTGGCCCAGAGCAGCAGTTGGTACTGGAGGGAGGGGTCCCGAGCCGATGACATATGCAGTGTTTGATGTTACCCTAAACACTCGAGGTTTTCGTCAAGATTTGAAAGGAGACATCTAAGGGTCTGGAACCCTGGCCCCCTCTCTCTTCACTCTGGCCCAGAACGGCAGTTGATGCTGGGGGGAGGGGTCTCCAAATGATGGCATATGCAGGAGACAAGACGGAACTGTCCCCTGGCCCCTTCACTCTGGCCCAAAGTGGCAGTTGGTGTGGGAGGAAGGGGTCCCGATCTGATGACATAAGCAGGAGACAAAAAGGAACTGTCCCCTGCCCCCCTCTCTCTTCACTCTGGCCCAGAGCGGCAGTTTGTGCTGAGGGGAGGGATCCCCAGCTAATGACATAAGCAGGAGACAAGGTGGAACTGTCCCCTGACCCCCTCTCTCTTCACTCTGGCCCAGAGCAATAGCTGGTGCTGGAGGGAGGGGTCTGCAACTGATGATATATGCAGGAGACAAGACGGAACTGTCCCCTGGCCCCATTTTCTTCATTCTAGCCCACAGCAATAGTTAGTGCTGTGGGGAATGGTCCCCAACTGATGACTTATGCAGGAGACAAGATGGAACTGTCCCAAGGCCCCCTCTCTCTTCACTCTGACCCAGAGTGGCAGTTGGTATTGGGGGGAGGGGTCCCCAGCTGATAACATATGCAGAAGACAAGGTGGAACTGTCCCCTGGCCCCCTTTCTCTTCATTCTGGCCCAGAGCAATAGTTGGTGCTGTGGGGAAGAGTCCCCAACTGATGACTTATGCAGAAGACAAGATGGAACTGTCCCATGGCCCCCTCTCTCTTCACGCTGGCCCAGAGCTGGGGGGAGGCAACATGGACTGTGACGGTCCCTTGTCAACTGGAGCGACACTTGCCGGAGTGGCAAAACAATCAGAGAAGGAAGAAGACAGCACGACTCTGTGTCTCTTTTAAAACCGATCTGCGTACTCATACAGGTGAATCTGGAGGCTGCCTTTGAATGCTCAAACCCAGACGTTCCTCCGGCTGGCAAGGCTTCAGAAAACCCGAGCAGACAGACAACAAGTCTGGAGAAGGACGAGTGGGAAGGAATGCCATAACGGAGGCAGCTGCGAGGATGAATTTCAAGCAATGGACTACGTTCAATGGAGATGGAAGATTACGATATTTTCCTCGCACAGTGGGGGTCATGTTATCTCAAGCCTCTGTGCAACGGAGGCCAGAGCCGGAGCCAAATGCAAGTCGGCAGGAGGCTGCCTTGGCTGCCATTGAAAGGGCCTCCGACTCCGACTCCTCCGACTCCGAGGGCGCTGTGCACCAAGCTTTCCATCCTGGCTCCGAGCTGCAACTCTCACTGGAAACAGCTGTCCCGCTGACTGAAGGGCATGCAGCCGGAATTTGCTGTTCCTCCTGATTCAGTAACCCATGGAAGGCAGCTTCAGCAGAGTCTGAACTCGTTTAACATGGATAGGCAACATGTAGCCTTCCAGATGTCCCTGGCCGACATAGTTAAGCAACAAAGACACAGGGGAAAACAATCTTAAAAACATTGTTGATTGCCCACGGCTGAAGTCGGGATGGAAAGAATATTGACAATTGTGCCCCAGTCCAAAACAAACAAGCAAGCAAGTAAACAAACAGGTTTCTTACAATAATAATATAATAATAATTTTATTTTTATACTATGCCAACCATCTCCCCTAGGATATCTTTTGGGAAAGATACCGTGTTTGGGGAAAATAGACCTTGACATTTGGGAGTTGTAGTTGCTGGGATTTATAGTTCACCTACAACCGGGAGAGCACTGTAGACTCAAACAATGATGGAACTGGACCAACTTGTCACAAATCCTCAATATGCCCAAATGTGAACACTGATGGAGTTTGGGGAAAATAGACCTTGGCATTTGGGAGTCGTAAGGTAAAGGTAAAGGTAGTCCCCTGACATTAAGTCCAGTCATGTCTGACTGTGGGGTGTGGTGCTCATCTCCATTTCTAAGCCAAAGAGCCAGCATTGTCCGTAGACACCTCCAAGGTCATGTGGCCGGCATGACTGCATGGAGCGCCGTTACCTTCCCGCCGGAGCGGTACCTATTGATCTACTCACATTTGCATGTTTTCGAACTGCTAGGTTGGCAGAAGCTAGGGCTGACAGCGGAAGCTCACACCGCTCCCCGGAATCGAACCTGTGACCTTTTGATCAACAAGCTCAGCAGCTCAGTGCTTTAACCCACTGCGCCACCGGGGGCTCCTTTCGAAGTCGTAGTTGCTGGGATTTAGAGTTCACCTACAACCGGAGAGCACTGTGGACTCAAACAATGATGGAACTGGACCAAACATGACACAAATCCTCAATATGCCCACATGTGAACACTGATGGAGTTTGGGGAAAATAGACCTTGACATTTGGGAGTCATAGTTGCTGGGATTTATAGTTCAATTACAACCGGAGAGCACTGTGGACTCAAACAATGATAGATCTGGACCAAACTCGGCACAAATCCTCAATATGCCCAAGTGTGATGGAGTTTGGGGAAAATAGACCTTGGCATTTGGGACTCGTAGTTGCTAGGATTTATAGTTAATCTACAACCAGAGAGCACTGTGGACTCAAACAATGATGGAACTGGACCAAACTTGGCACAAATCCTCAATATGCCCAAATGTGATTGAGTTTGAGGAGAATGGACCTTGGCATTTGGGAGTCGTAGTTGCTGGGATTTATAGTTCACCTACAACTGTTTGGTAGAGGGAAGCATTAAGAAGAGAAGCATTAATGCCCCTGTGGACTTTCCTATCCTATTATTTGGCTTGTCTAGGTTAAGACCTCTTCCCAAAACTTGAGCATCTTTGAACATGACAGCCACATATGGATTTCTGAAGGCCCCACATAATTTTGATATTCCATTCTTAATCCTATGTATTTTCAGTGCCCTTTACTTACGTGTCCACGAATTTCCGGCTGAGATCTGAGATGAGGACTGAAGAGCCTTTCTGGAATGGAGGGTCCCGCGTGACTTTGTAGTGGATGGCACGACAGTGAGTGCACCATTTACTGTGTGGGACAGAGCTGATCATGGCAGCGTCAATCTCCAAGTGCTCATCCAAGGTGAAGATCTGGATCCCATAGACTTCCTCTTTCACTTCTGTGTGGTCAAGCTTGATGGTAAGGGGAATGTCACAGAAGAAGTTCTGGGGCCCCAAGGAAATGTTCCATCCACTGACCATAAGGAGTTTGATGTTGTTTATGGCTTCTTTGGAGTCCCAATCAGAGGACACATAGGTCACCCAGATGGTCAGTGACTCAGGAATCACAGGGTACTGAAACTCCAACTCCAGATAGCAACCTTGAGGTTCAGGGCAGGCTGGTGGGACTATTTGCTTCACTGCTGAATTGGGACTCCATGTTCTAACATCAGGCTTACATGGTTGTTCCACGTCAGGGTGGCCTTGGAAATGGAAACAAAAAAGGAACAGAGTAAAGACAACACACCATTGCTAAGGGCACACCGCTCTGGTGACAGTGGATGACCATGTGTGATAATGTATTTATGCTAAGAGTGAAAAATAATTTAAAAAAGAGCATACCTTCAAGCGACGGGAACAGTAGATCTAAACCAGTGGTTCCAAACCTTGTTCCTCCAGGTGTTTTGGACTTCAACTCCCAGAAATCCCAGCCATCTTATCAGCTGTTAGGAATTGTGGGAGCTGAAGTCCAAAACACCTGGAGGACCAAAGGTTGGGAACCACAGATCTAAACCATCTGTAGAAATGCTAAGCTGGAAAAGGTTACCTTAGACCATTGGTTTCCAACCTTGGGACCTTCAGGTGTTTTGGACTTCAATTTCCAGAAATCCCTGCCAGCTTACCAAATATTAAGAATTGTGGGACCTGAAGTCCAAAACACCTGGAGGACCGAAGTTTGAGAACCACAGATCTAAACCATCTAGAGAAGTGCTAAGCTGGGAAAGGTTACCTTAGACCAGTGGTTCCCAGCCTTTGGTCCTCCAGATATTTTGGACTTCCCGGGAATCCCAGCCATCTTACTAGCTGTTAGGAATTGTGGGAGCTGAAGTCCAAAACACCTGGAGAACCAAAGGTTGGGAACCACAGATCGAAACCATCTGGAGAAATGCTATGCTGCGAAAGGTTACCTTAGATCACTGGTTTCTGACCTTTGGTCTTCCAGGTGTTTTGGACTCCAACTTCCAGACATCCCAGCCAGCTTACCAACTGTTAAGAATTGTGGGAGCTGAAGTCTAAAACACCTGAGGGACCAAAGTTTGAGAACCACAGTTCGAAACCATCTGGAGAAATGCTAAGCTGGGAAACGTTACTTCAGACCACTGGTTTCCAGATTTTGCTCCTCCGGGTGTTTTGGGCTTTAGTTCCCAGAAATCCCAGCCAGCTTACCCGCTGTTAAGAATTGTGGGAGCTGAGGTCCAAAACACCTGGAGGACCAAAGTTTGGGAACCACAGATCTAAATCATCTGGAGAAATGCTAAGCTGCGAAAGGTTACCTTAGACCACTGATTCCCAACCTTTGGTCCTCCAGGTGTTTTGGCCTTCAACTTCCAGAAATCCCAGCCATCTTATCAGCTGTTAGGAATTGTGGGAGCTGAAGTCCAAAACACCTCGAGGACCAAAGTTTGGGAACCACAGATCTAAAACATCTGGAGAAATGCTAAGCTGGAAAAGGTTACCTTAGGCGACTAGCTTCCAACCTTTGCTCCTCCAGGTGTTTTGGACTTCAACTCCCAGAAATCCCAGCCAACTTACCAGCTGTTAGGAATTGTGGGAGCTGAAGTCCAAAACACCCAGAGGACCAAAGGTTGGGAATGACTGTCTTAGACTAAAAAAACCAGAAGAAGGTGGTCAGTAAGGAGAAAAAAACATAGAAAACAGATCTGCAACAAGCTGATATAGGCAACTCAGAAGTGAAACATCCAGAAAATGGCCAATGCCACCAAATGTAACCAAGGAGGGAAACATCTCCACCAAATACAAGCAAAGCAAGGAAGACGTGGTCACACAATTTAACAGCAATGAATGAATTAGAGCTTTGTTTTCTTTCTCAATGAATGATTCCTCCCCAAGAAAGTCAATTGGTGTCCTTCTTTTTCTTCCAACTGTCCCTTTCTAATCTCATTCATGGAAAGAGGTGGGAGGGGAAGGGCTCAACATCTCACCAAGGCTTACTCAGTGTGAGGAGCAAATGCACCACATGGTTTTCTTTATCTTGGAATGCTCTGTGTGTGCTTTTGCCCGCAAGAGGTTAAGGTGAACCATCAGGCTCTGGCTGGGAGCCAGCAGAAGAAGCCGCTTTCCTTCCTTTCGACCAAAAAGCCAGTGAAGAAGGTGGCCTGGCATTTTCAAAGCCTTGTTTCTTGGGATAAGATGAGGCAGGCAATAATGAAGGATGGAAAGAATATTGTTAAAAGACCGAGAAACATGTCTTTTGGAAGGTTGAGAAACCCACATGGGAGAAATCCTGGAAGTCGAGAGAGAACGCTCACAGTTGGATATGCAATCTGCATAAAATTTGCATTAAGATGTTCTGTGCAGAAATCAGAATTTTCTGGGCAGAGAATTGTAAGAAATGTTATTTCTTGTGCAGGAAAAATGAAACAGTTTCTTGCTTGGAAAATACAGAAATTTGGGGACTTATTTTGTGAAGAATTTGCACATGGATGATGTGCATCGAAAATACAAGGGTTGAATGAAAAGCAATGCCTCCACCTTCATAACTCCTCAACAGATGGCAGTACTGGTATGTGGTGGGTACTGGCTTGTTTAGTAGACTCTTCTCTACAGTTCCATTTTGGCAGGAAGCCTTAGCATTGAATGATTGTGTTTTTAAAGTGCAAAGTATGGAACCCTGCATAGACAGTTGGTCAATGTGACTTAAGCAATGTGCAGTCATTGAATTCTTGTAAGCAGAAGGTGTCACCCCAATGGAGATTCGTCAGAGAATGCAAGCTGTTTATGGTGATTGTGTTGATGTGAGTACTGTGCATCATTGGGCGATTAAGTTTAAAGATGTTGAGGTGGGAACATCTGACTTGAGTGACAAACAAAGAGTTGGATATCCTGTGACAGCAACCACCGAATTTCACAAGCAAAACGTTAACAGATTGATTCAGGACAATCGTCGCATCACTCAGAGAGAAATTTCAAGCATAATCAGCATTTCACAAGAATGTGTGGTTCACATTATTGCTTTGCTTGGCTTCGCAGGCACGTCTGGCGGGGACAAGAGACAGGGCCTTCTCTGTGGTGGCCCCCTGGCTGTGGAACTCCCTCCCCAGGGATATTAGATCAGCCCCCTCCCTCCTGACTTTCCGAAAAAGAGTAAAAACGTGGCTCTTCGAGCAAGCATTCGGCAGACAAACTAGAGTTGGAAATTGACCCAGGAACAGCCAAGACAATGTAATGGATGATTTGAACGAGAGGACATAGTTTCTTTTTAAATTGTTTATTATGCCCTGTTGTTTATGTTTAATTGCACTTGATGTTTTTGCTTTATTAATGTATGTATTTTGTTTCAGCATCGAATTGTGCTGACTGTGTATACCGCCCTGAGTTGCCTTCGGGCTGAAATGGGCAGGATAGAAATAATGTAAAATAAATAAATAAAAATATCAGAAGATCTGTGCACGATGGATACCCAGGATGCGGATGCCTGAAATGAAAGCGCACAGACTTGAAACTTCAGAGACTGGATCTCACTACCATACGACATCCTCCATACAATCCAGATTTAGCACCGTCTGACTTCCATTTGTTCCTGATAATGAAAGAAGATTTGCAGGGACATCATTATGCTTCTGGTGAAGACGTTGAGAGAACTGTGAGACACTGGCTGTGGAAACAGAGTGTCGACTTCTTCCGTGACGGCTTCAAAAAACTTGTTAATCATTGGCAGAAATGTATCCAATTATCTGGTGATTATGTGGGAAAGTGAATAGTGGTAGTTAAAGAGCACATTCTAAGGATTATTTCTGTGTTTGATGTATTAAAATATTCCCATCCAAACCAAAGTAACGAAGGTGGAGGCATTACTTTTCATTCAACCCTCGTAGAATTTTCTGAGCAGAAAAATCATAGAACCATACAAGATGGTATGAAATCACGGGATTGGTAATTTCACGAGGGAGCAATACTCTTTGGCAAAGTAGGCTACAGACCTTGGAAAAAGTACAACTCTCAGGATTCCATATCATTTTGCTGTGGCAGTTGAAGTGCCATCAAACTGCATTTATTCTATGGTGCACCTAATGATTCCATGGTTTCAGCTATGGAGTCCTAGGGCTTGTAGTTTAGGGAAGCACTAAGAAGTGACGAGCGGAGTGCCGCAGGGTTCCGTCCTGGGCCCGGTCCTGTTCAACATCCTTATTAATGACTTAGATGAAGGGCTAGAAGGCATGATCATCAAGTTTGCAGTCAACACCAAATTGGGAGGGATAGCCAATACTCCAGAGGGCAGGAGCAGGATTCAAAACGATCTTGACAGATTAGAGAGATGGGCCAAAACTAACAAAATGAAGTTCAACAGTGACAAATGCAAGATACTCCACTTAGGAAGAAAAAACGAAATGCAAAGATACAGAATGGGGGATGATGCCTGGCTCAAGAGCAGGACGTGTGAAAAAGATCTTGGAGTCCTCGTGGACAACAAGTTAAACAACAATGTGATGTGGCGGCAAAGAAAGCCAATGGGATTTTGGCCTGCATCAATAGGAGCCTAGTGTCTAGATCTAGGGAAGTAATGCTCCCCATGCTCTATTCCGCTTTGGTTAGACCACACCTGGAATATTGTGTCCAATTCTGGGCACCACAATTCAAGAGAGATATTGACAAGCTGGAACGTGTCCAGAGGAGGGCGACTAAAATGATCAAGGGTCTGGAGAACAAGCCCTATGAGGAGTGGATTAAGGAGCTGGGCATGTTTAGCCTGAAGAAGAGAAGGCTGAGAGGAGATATGATAGCCATGTATAAATATGTGAGAGGAAGCCACAGGGAGGAGGGAGCAAGCTTGTTTTCTGCTTCCTGGAGACTAGGACTGGAACAATGGCTTCAAACTACAAGAGAGGAGATTCCATCTGAACATGAGGAAGAACTTCCTGACTGTGAGAGCCGTTCAGCAGTGGAACTCTCTGCCCCGGAGTGTGGTGGCGGCTCCTTTTTTGGAAGCTTTTAAACAGAGGCTGGATGGCCATCTGTCAGGGGTGATTTGAATGCTTCTTGGCAGGGGGTTGGACTGGATGGCCAATTAGGTCTCTTCCAACTCTTTGAATCTTTGATTCTATGATTCTAGCTGTATATCTGAATAGTCTGTAAGTTAAATGTTGTTGCAATTCATTAGTGGGAAAGCACTCCAATTTTCACAACAAACTAAACTGAAGGGGGGGGGGGGATCAGGAACTGAGAAAAACCAAAATTAAGAGATTTGTCTATTCCTGGTTCATACTTTAGATTTTGTAAACTGTGGTTTTACTCTTCCTCAACCCACAATTATATAAGCTCTGGAATCATCAAAAATGTTTTGTTAAAAACGAGAAAGTCTCATTTCTGGCTTTCCTCCTACAAAATGTGAAGTGTGTTCCAAAATAAGAACAACCAAAAAAGAAGAATGCAAGAGAATTTCATTTCAAAGCAAAGCGATCTAATTCCTGGACAAATGCAGAGTTTGGAAAGTTACTTTTCAGAAGCAATTGATTCTCAGTGAATGACAAGTAACGCTGCTAAAAGAGCGAGTTGCTGTGCTCCTGATCCCTTTCGTACACATTTCTGTTAAATTTAATCCACTAATTAACTTCTATGGATTTATATTCCTTTCGACCAGATCATAGCGGAAAGCTCTTTTCCGAATGCCATGGAATTTATCCTTGCAAATTGATCATTGCAAAAGTAAAGGAACATCGCTCTTACTTTTTTGAGCTACTTTGGAAAGGCGGATCCATTACAGAATTGCAAAATAACTCGACTGTGTTGGAAATAGCAATCTTCTCAAGTCTCCACGAGTTATTTGTTATGTATATAATTGCTTACGGAATTGTATGCATATATTGGTTTGCAATATTACCTATCCTCTTTGCTGAAGGAGGGGCTGCAGACCATGAGATCAGGTCTGGACATGTTTAGGACTCAGATTCCATTTTAGTATATAGGAGCCATTCGACTCTTAAGAGAGAGTAGAAGCCATCTATTTTGCTTTACACTTCGGCAAAAGCAGTTATGCTTATTTTGGACTATTGATTCTAAGGAAGATGTGCTACTTCCACTAATAAACTACTTAAAATCCTATTGTAACTGGCTTCGTAAGTAAACCCCCCGTATGCTGTATACATGAAGTTTTGTGAGTAAATCAACTAAGTCCTAAACTTATTTTGTCTCTTGAGAGCATGATTTAAAGGCAAACATGTTTTAAGGGAGAGTAGATGTTTTGGGGCAACCAAAGGAACACCTCTGAAACTCTGCTGAATATATAATTTTTTGTGCATTGGCATGTCTTCGTCCCCGATAGTTCAAAGTCTGTGCGCATTCAGAAGAAGACCTACAAGTCACTCTAAACACCTTCACAGAAGCTTCAGGCTTGGCCATGGCACCGAGACGACTTTGGTCGCCTTGGTGGATGACCACAGAGAGTTGGACAGGGGGAGTGTGACCCTGTTCTCTTGGACATCTCAGCAGCTTTCAATACCATCGACCATGGTATCCTTCTGGGATGACTCCCCGGGATGGGCCTTGGGGGAACGGTTCTGTCATGTCTCCAATTCTTCCTAGAGGGCTGTTCCCAGATGGTGAAGCTGGGAGACGCTGGCTCGGACCCCTGGCCTTTGACCTGTGGGGTCCTGCAAGGCTCCATTCTGTCTCCCATGCTCTTTAACATCTACATGAAACCGCTGGGTTAGGTCATCCGGAGTTTTGGAGTTGGGTGCCATCTCTACGCAGATGTCACACAACTCTACTACTCGTTTCCACCTAACTCCAAGGAAGCCCCTCAGGTGCTGGACGAGTGCTTGGCCGCTGTGTCTATCTGGATGAGGAGGAACAAGCTGAAGATCAATCCTGACAAGACAGAGGTCCTCCTGGTCGATCGTAAACCAGATCGGGGTATAGGGTGGCAACCTGTGTTGGATGGGGTTGCACTCCCCCTGAAGTCACAGGTCCGCAGTTTGGGTGTCCTCCTGGATTCATCACTTACGCTTGAGGCTCAGGCGTCGGCGGTGGCCGGGAGGGCTTTTGCACAATTAAGACTCGTGTGCCAACTGCGACTGTACCTCGTAGGCGGATCTGGCCAGGGTGGTCAATGCCTTAGTCACCTCCAGATTGGATTACTGTAATGCACTCTACATGGGGCTGCCCTTGAAAACGGCTCGGAAATTCCAACTGGTTCAACGGGCGGCGGCCAGGTTACTTACTGGGGCGATTTACAGGGAACGGTCAACCCCCCTGTTTAAGGAACTCCATTGGCTGCCGTTCATTTCCCGATCCCAATTCAAGGTGCAGGTTCTGACCAATAAAGTCCTAAACGGTTTGGGACCCGCCTACCTGCGTGACCGCATCACTGTTTACGAACCCACATGATCTCTTTGATCATCTGGAGAGGCCCTGCTCACGATCCCACCTGCATCGCAAGCGCGATTGGTGGGGACGTCGGGGGCAGGGCCTTCTTGGTGGTGGCCCCTCGACTCTGGAACTCTCTCCCTAGGGTATCAGGCATGCCCCAATGCTGGCAGTTTTTAGGAGGAGCTTGAAAACCTGGTTGCCCCCCCCCCCAAGAAAACATTCTAAAGTTAGTAGCAATGAAAAGAAGACTTTTTCAAAATAAATTAAAAAACAACGCAGGGTTTTCCTTCTTTGTTCCGAAACCCTAAAACTCAGCATTACAACTTAATTAAATTATGAACCATCTTAAAAGGAATCCCATACAGCCAACATAGCTTGAATCTCTAGGTCTCCAATGAGATACCATGGTCAATGTCTACTGGAGCTGATCATAGGATTGCAGTGGAGGACCTCCAAATGCTAGATGAGTGTTCTCTGTAGGAATCTCTTGGTCCTTCAGAAAGACTTTAGAGATTCACCCTGAAGAATCTAGGAATTTTCATTAACCAGCTTTTCAAATAATTAAAACTATAAAAGTTCCCCCTCAAACATTGAGAGCTGACAGTATCCGTTTGTTATTTGCCTTTCCTTGCATGGTTCCGCCATCCAACCAATCTGATTTGTCCTTCCATTCCATTTTTTTCCCATCCAGAGACTGATGCTCACCCTCTGCTCCTCGGGGACTCCAATGTCCGGATGGGTCGCAGGGCATGGGCGAGGAGGCACTGAAAGCGTACTGCACCAGGACCTGGCCTTCCAAGCAGAGGTCACATGCTGATCCCACTTCTCTAGGAGGCAGGAAACAAACAAAAAGAAAATGCACCAACTTAGTAACAGTTGAAAATAGAGAGCATTTGGTAGATTCATACAGCACTCATAAGCAACTACAGAATCTATTGTACGAACTTCACACACATTGTCTGTTGATTTATAGAAACAATTTTCTGAATCAGCACCCCAAATAACCAAACTGAATCTAAAGTTGACCAATCTCCAACCTCCCTTTTTGGGCAAGTGGTTGGGTGGTCGTCTCTCAGCTCCAGGGATTCCTAGAGGACATTGATTATCTGGACCAGTCACAATCTGGCTTTAGGCCTGGTCATGGTATTTATTTATCATGTCATCAGCAACCATACCATTGTATTACATTTCTAACAGAGCAAAACAAACACACAGATTTAAAAAAAACACAGATTTTGCAAACTTGATAGTTGGTTAAATGTCCTTTGACCAGTATCTGGCCACTTGGAGTGCCTCTGGTGTTGCCGCAAGAAGGTCCTCCATTCGTGCATGTGGCAGGGCTCAGGGTGCATTGCAGCAGGTGGTCAGTGGTTTGCTCTTCTCCGCACTCGCATGCCGAGGATTCCACTTTGTAGCCCCATTTCTTAAGATTGGCTCTGCATCTCGTGGTGCCAGAGCGCAGTCTGTTCAGCGCCTTCCAAGTCGCCCAGTCTTCTGTGTGCCCAGGGGGGAGTCTCTCATCTGGTATCACCCCAGATTGAGGTTCTGGTTTGAGCCTGCCACTTTTGGACTCTCGCTTGCTGAGGTGTTCCAGCGAGTGTCTCTGTAGATCTTAGAAAACTATTTCTTGATTTAAGTCGTTGACGTGCTGGCTGATACCCAAACAGGGGATGAGCTGGAGATGTCTCTGCCTTGGTCCTTTCACTATTGGCTGCTACTTCCCGGCGGATGTCAGGTGGTACAATGCCGGCTAAGCAGTGTAATTCTCCAGTGGTGTAGGGCTCAGACACTCTGTGATAATGCGGCATGTCTCATTAAGAGCCACATCCACTGTTTTAGTGTGGTGAGATGTGTTCCACACTGGGCATGCGTACTCAGCAGCAGAGTAGCATAGCGCAAGGGCAGATGTCTTCACTGTATCTGGTTGTGATCCCGGTTGTGCCAGTCAGCTTTCGTATGATGTTGTTTCTAGCGCCCACTTTTTGCTTGATGTTCAGGCAGTGCTACTTGTAGGTCAGAGCATGGTCCAAAGTGACTCCCAGGTATTTGGATGTGTTGCAATGCTCCAGTGGGATTCCCTCCCAGGTAATCCTCAGAGCTCGGGATGCTTCTCTGTTCTTAAGGTGAAAGGCGCATGTCTGTGTTTTAGATGGATTAGGGATCAGTTGGTTTTCCCTGTAATAGGCAGTAAGAGCACCTAGAGCTTCGGAGAGCTTCTTTTCAACCATCTCAAAGCTCCCTGGTCAGGGTACTGAGATGGCTTTGGTCACCTTGGTGGATGACCTCCACAGGGAGCTGGACAAGGGGAGTGTGACCCTGCTGGTTCTCTTGGACATCTCAGCAGCTTTTGATACCATCAACCATGATATCCTTCTGGGACGGCTCTCTGGGATGGGTCTTGGGGGCACGGTTCTGTCGTGGCTCCGGTCCTTCTTGGAGGGTCGCTCCTAGATGGTGAAGCTGGAGGACACCTGCTCAGACCCCCGGCCGTTGACCTGTAGGGTTCCGCAAGGTCCCATTATGTCCCCCATGCTTTTTAACATCTACATGAAACCGCTGGGAGAGGTCATCCGGAGTTTTGGATGGCTAGTTGTTATTATAAAAACTGATTCATAACCCTTTTGGGACTACTGTTGGAGAGTGGTCCTTGGTCAAGTGGTCAAAGTGCTCCCTGGTCAAGTGGTTCCTGGTCAAAAAATGGTTAGCTAATGGTCAATGACATTCTGAAATGTGCAATGCTACAGATAAGTTCAGAGCACGCTGGACCTTCCAAAGTAATGAATTCCTCCAACATTTCTTGTTCCTACTCAAGGGCAGCTGCTGACAGGGTCTCAGTTACATGGCTCTATATTCCAACATTATAAATTGTATTAGTCATCGTCTCAGATTGGTGATAAACTCTGATGAATCAGTTGTTATTATTATTATTTGAGAAAAGAATTGGAGCCGTTCCCTCCATCTCCCATGAAAAGCCTCGGCACCATTTATTTATCCTAGGCCTGAGAACCTAGGCAAACTATGACATAAGGACTGGGCAATGTTTCCTTAGATATCCTCAAGTTCTGTCGGCTCGACGCAATTGAAACCCCAATGGAAGGGTTTGTAAAAGAAATCGAGTGTTGACTTGAGGAATGATAACTCTGTTATGAAATCCTAGATTGAACAGGCTGCCCATTGTGTGTCATTTAAGTACCAACTAGCCACGGATTATTAAAAACACACTGATTGAGACGGAGGAAATATGTCAGAAAGGAGTATTTTGTTACATAACAATTAACCTTGTATCAGTATGTTTTTAATAGGCAGATGGAATTTATTTAACATACAATAACTGCTTTATGAAATATAAATTAAATGCATATTGCAAGAACTTTGCGTACCCTTTCAGGCAGAGGGAAAGAGAGAGATGGAAGGTCATATCCGTGATATGATGGTGGTCATATCCGTGGAAGTAAAGTTCAATATTTTCTCGAAGATTCATGGAGGTTAATATGTACTGGGATTAACCACGGGTAAACCTTTTTTCTGGTCTGAATTCAAGGTGATGTTCAAAACCTTAAACCACCTAAGACCTCCAAAGCTGGACCAATGCCTTCAAGAAGATGGAGATCTCTTGGTATGCATCATCTATGGTTATACTTCTATCCCATTGTTGTAATGTGCCTTCAAGCAACTTCTAGTACAGTGTTTCTCAACCTGGGGGTCAGGTTGTGAGGGAAGGTTGTGATGGGGTGTCAGAGGGATCACCAAAGACCATCAGAAAACACAGTATTTTCTGGGTTGTTGTAGGTTTTTCCGGGCTATATGGCCATGTTCTGGAAGCAATTTTTCTCCTGACGTTTCGCCTGCATCTATGGCAAGCATCCTATGGTCAGACCTCACTACTTCTGAGGATGCTTGCCATAGATGCAGGCGAAACGTCAGGAGAAAAATTGCCTCCAGAACATGGCCATATAGCCCGGAAAAACCTACAACAACCCAGTGATCCCGGCCATGAAAGCCTTCGACAATACACAGTATTTTCTGTTAGTCATGGGTGTTCTGTGTAAGTTTCGTCCAATTCTATCGTTGGTGAGGTTCAGAATGCTCTTTGATTATAGGTGAACTATACATCCCAGCAAATACAACTCCCAAATGTCAAGGTCTGTTTTCCCCAAACTCCACCATTGTTCACCTTTGAGCATATTAATAACTAGCCGTCCCCTGCCACGTGTTGCTGTGGCCCACGTAGGGGTTCTGTGTGTGAGGTTTGGCCCAATTCTATCATTGGTGGGGTTCAGAATGCTCTTTAATTGTAGGTGAACTATAAATCCCAGCAACTACAACTCCCAAATGTCAAGATTCTATTTTTCACGTTTGGGCATATTGAGTATTCGTGTAGAGTTTGATCCAGATCCATCACTGTTTGAGTCCACAGTGATCTCTGGATGTACGTGAACTACAACTCCAAAAGCAAAGGACACTGCCCACCAAACTCTACCAGTATTTTCTGTTGGTCATGGGAGAACTCTGTGTCAAGTTTGGTTCAATTCCATCGTTGGTGGGGTTCAGAATGTCCTTTGATTGTAGGTGAACTATTAATCCCAGGAACTACAACTCCCAAATGTCAAGATTCTATTTTCCCCAAACTCCACCAGGGTTCACATTTGGGCATATTGAGTATTTGTGTAGAATTTGGTCCAGATCCCTCATTGTTTGAGTCCACAGTGATCTCTGGATGTAGGTGAACTACAACTCCAAAACTCAAGCTAAATGCCCACCAAACCTTTCCATTATTTTATATTGGTCGTGGGAGAATTGTGTGCCAAGTTTGGTTCAATTCCATCATTGGTGGAGTTCAGAATGCTCTTTGATTGTAAGTGAACTATAAATCCCAGCAATTACAACTCCCAAATGACAAAATCAACCACATCCCAACCCCACCAGTATTCAAATTGTGGAATATTGGGTATTTGGGCCACTGAATGAAAATACATTCTGCATTTCAGATATTTACATTACGATTCATAACAGTAGCAAAATTACAGTTATGTAGTAGCAACGAAAATAATGTTATGGGTTGAGGGTCACCACAACATAAGGAACTGTATTAAGATGTTGCGGCATATGTGCTTAGAAAGGTTGAGAAACACTGACCTAGGACCTCCATAGTTGGACTAATGCCCTGGTTGGGGGTCACCACAATATGAGGAACTGGATTAAGAGGTCACGGCATTAGGAAAGTTGACCTAGGACCTCCATCATTGGACCAATGCCTTCAAGAAGATGGAGTTCTGCTGGTATGCATCATCTATGGTTATACTTCTATCCCATTGTTGTCATGTGCCTTCAAGCAACTTCTAGTATGATCTATCTATAGTTAGGTCTGTTAGTTTGGAATTGCTCCGACTGATACTGCTGGTATGCATCATCTATGGACATGGGATCCGTCCCCATTGACAGAATGTTCTCCTTTTGACACCAGTATTGTCCTTTTGAAGGCACCAAGTTAAAACATGGTTTTAATCAAGCCTTTCTGGGCTAATATTATTTCTTCAGGTGTACATAGTTTCAACTGCTAGTTGTGACCTTCTGGTTATACTTCTATTCCATTGTCATGTGCCTTCAAGACACTTCTAGTATGATCCTATCTATAGTTAGGTTTGATGATTTGGAATTGTTCCTACTGATACCTCAATTATTATTAGTATTAATATTGTTATTAATGTTCCATTCTTTCATCCAAGCACCTTCATAGCTTGTAAGAGCACCCTCCTTCCCAATCACCTTTCGAAGTAGTGCCTGTCAATGGGAGGAAACCACTCCAGGGTGATCGAAGAGCTTGTCCAGTCCACCGTTTGTGGCATCAGAGCAATGGGGGCCGGCTTCTTTTCAGGCTGCCAGCCCTGGTAGACCAAGTCCAAGTAGCAATGCATTCTGGCCACCTGGTTGGGCGTGAAGGAGTTGGTGCAATCATCATCTGGGGTGATGAGGAGAGAGAGAAAACAGACACAAGAGGAAGTTATGACCTAGTGAAATGTATTATAGCTCCCTGGGACATTTCATTGACCTCTTTCTTCATGCTCCAGAATGACCCATTGGTTAAAGCTGTGGTTCTCAACCTGTGGATGCCAAGTATTGGCCTTCAACTCCCAGAAATCCCAACAGTTGGTAAATTGGCTGGGATTTCTGGGAGCTGTAGGCCAAAACACCTGAAGGAACAAAGGTTGGAAACCAGTAGTCTAAGGTGATCTTTCCCAGCTTAGCATTTCTCCAGATGGTTTAGATCTGTGGTTCCCAAACTTTGGTCCTCCGGGTGTTTTGGACTTCAGCTCCCACAATTCTTAACAGTTGGTAAGCTGGCTGGTATTTCTGGAAGTTGAAGTCCAAAACTCCTGAAGGACCAAAGGTTGGAAACCAGTGGTCTAAGGTAACCTTTCCCAGCTTAGCACTTCTCCAGATGGTTTGGGGACCCACAGGTTGAGAACCACTGGGTTAAGGGAAGAAGCTAAACCAACTAATCCCATAATGGCATGTCCATGGAACTAAAGGTCTATGGTCAGCTCCTGTAGCACGTCTATGGATGACTGTTATGGGTCAGTAGGGTTATCAAGTTAGAATAATCCCTGATCTCTAGGAACAACGTACTGTGAGAACAATCCAATACCAAGCCTAAGAAATGAAGACATTTTTGTACCCACACTTTTCAAGTGACTGCTCTCAACCTTGGAATCCTCCACCACTACCATCACCTTGAGAACCAGAAAAGTGGAGAACGACCCTGAGATTTGGCAGTAAGATCAGACATCTCATTAAGTTTTGTGGGCACCACTGTTCAAGAGAGATGTTGACAAGCTGTAAGGTGTCCAGGGGCGGGCAACTAAAATGATAGAGATCTGGAGACCATGAATCCCTATGAGGAACATCTTATAGAGCTGGGTCTGTTTAGCCTGCAGAAGAGAAGGTTGAGAGGAGACATGAGAGCCATGGATAAATATATGAAAGGATCTCACAAGGGAGAGGGAGCAGGCTTGTTTTCTACTGTCCTGGAGATGAGGACTTGGAGCCATGGCTTTGAATTACAGGGAAGGAGATCCCACCTGAACATTAGGAAAACCTTCCTGATTGTAAGAGCTGATCAGCAGTGGAACCCTCTGCCTCGGAGTGTGGTGGAAACCCCTTCTTTGGAGGTTTTTACCTACCTGAGACTGACTAAGACCATCGTGAACCACCAAAATATACAACAGAACAGAATACACCCAGAAGTGACCTGAAGTCAACTTATGGTTCTCACAAATGTCACGTGCCCCACTATGTGCCAAGCTACAATTCACCATCAGCAATGCCACTAGCATGACATATTTCTCTTGTCAAACAAACAGGAGCTTTTTTGTTGAGTTCTAGGGCCAGAGAAGTAGATGGCAGAAACAGAAGAACGGCCTGCCTCAGGGGAGCATGCTTGCTGCATCGATGTTCAACATCTACACAAATGACCAGCCACAGCCAGAAGGGACAGAAAGCTTCATCTATGCTGTTGATCGTGCCATTACTGCTCAAGCAGAATGGTAGAACAGAAGCTCTCCGAAGCTCTAGGTGCTCTCACTGCCTATTACAGGGAAAACCAGCTGATCCCTAATCCATCTAAAACACAGACATGTGCTTTCACCTTAAGAACAGACAAGCATCCCGAGCTCTGAGGATCACCTGGGAAGGAATCCCACTGGAGCATTGCAGCACACCCAAATACCTGGGAGTCACTCTGGACCGTGCTCTGACCTACAAGAAGCACGGCCTGAACATCAAGCAAAAAGTGGGTGCTAGAAACAATATCATACGAAAGCTGACTGGCACAACCTGGGGATCACAACCAGACACAGTGAAGACATCTGCCCTTGCGCTATGCTACTCTGCTGCTGAGTATGCATGCCCAGTGTGGAACACATCTCACCACACTAAAACAGTAGATGTGGCTCTTAATGAGACATGCCGCATTATCACAGGGTGTCTGCGCCCTACACCACTGGAGAAATTACACTGCTTAGCCGGTATTGCACCACCTGACATCCGCCGGGAAGTAGCAGCCAATAGTGAAAGGACCAAGGCAGAGACATCTCCAGATCATCCCCTGTTTGGGTATCAGCCAGCACTCAACGACTTAAATCAAGAAATAGTTTTCTAAGATCTACAGAGACACTCGCTGGAACACCTCAGCAAGCGAGAGTCCAAAAGTGGCAGGCTCAAACCCAGAACCTCAACCAATGGCTGATACCAAATGAGAGACTCCCCCCTGGGCAACTTGGAAGGCGATGAACAGACTTCGCTCTGGCACCACGAGATGCAGAGCCATCCTTCGGAAATGGGGCCACAAAGTGGAATCCTTGACATGTGAGTGTGGAGAAGAGCAAACCACTGACCACCTGCTGCAATGCACCCTGAGCCCTGCCACATGCACAATGGAGGACCTTCTTGCAGCAACACCAGAAGCACTCCAAGTGGCCAGATACTGGTCAAAGGACATTTAATCAACTACCAAACTCGCAAATTTTGTATTCTGTCTGTTTGTTTGTTTTGTTCTGTTAGAAATGTAATACAACTGACTGGTTGCCCTGACACGACAAATAAATTTCTCTTGTCTTCAAGTCTGTTTCCTCCCTTCCTGGAAATAATCCAGGAAGCAGAAGCTGATGGATCATGGAGTAGCATGGTTCTGTGGACCATCACTTTGGGACAGCACTGCTCTAAACCTTGTGTTAGAAGATCAACTCAAATAGCAGATGACCCCCAAAAAAGAGTAGGAGAGGGAAGAGTACCTGCATAGCTCATAAAGTTGTTGAAGGGTGTGTTCTGGAAGCTACGGAAACCACACATGTCATTGCCAGGGGCCGGATCGCCGCAGACTTTGTGCGTTGGAGTTGGGTTTGTGTCATGGCAGAGGTCGCCCGTCTCAAACGAAGGTTCGGTTTCCATGCACGGATCACTGCAGGAGAAGATCTCCGAGATGCCTTTGAAGACATGGTAAAGGCCCAGACTGTGCCCAATTTCATGGATCATTGTGTGGGTATGGCCGGGAATGCCATAGAAGGAAGGGTTCAACACAATTCCTCCTGTGTGGAAAGAGACAAAGGGCAGACACTTTCACACACAGCTATGTATCAAGGAAGAGTCTTTGTTTATTTATTTACTACATTTATATCCCACTCTTCTCACCCAAAGGGGACTCAGAGCGTCCTCACAAGTAGGCAACAATTTGATGGGACATAACATACATACAATACAATAAACATATGCATTGCAAAATCGAACAGTTAAAAAACATAACAACATTAAAATCAGCCACTCTAAAATCATAATCCAGGGCCATTCCAGTTGTCATTTCACTATTCTGAATGCACTGAAAATGACTGACCAAAAGCTTGGTCCCATAATCACATTTTAACTTTCTTCCTGAAGGTCAGGAAGGAGGGAGCTGATCTAATATGACTGGGGAGGGAGTGGATTACTGTAATGCGCTCTACGTGGGGCTGCCCTTGAAAACGGCTCGGAAATTCCAACTGGTCCAACGAGCAGCAGCCAGGATGTTAACTGGCGCTCCCTACAGAGAGAGGTCAACCCTCCTGTTCAAGGAGCTCCACTGGCTGCCGTTTATCTACCGAGCCCAATTTAAGGTGCAGGTGCTGCTTACCTACAAAGCCCTGAACGGTTTGGGACCACCCTACCTGCGTGACCGCATCTCCGTCTACGAACCCAGGCGCTCACTTCGGTCATCTGGAGAGGCCCTGCTCATGATCCCACTTGCATCGCAAGCGCGTTTGGTGGGGACACGAGACAGGGCCTTTTCCGTGGTGGCCCCCCGACTGGAACAGCCTCCCCAAAGATTTTAGACAGGCCCCTACATTGGCAGTCTTCAGAAAGAACTTGAAGACCTGGCTGTTCCGATGTGCCTTCCCCGAATAGGAAACCTCCAATACCAAGTCCCATAAGCACTTTATTAAAGCTAAGACCGCCGCACACCGCACACTGCACTTGCCCATAAGCCTCATATTCCACCCGTCACATCAGCACTTTTAACTCTTGTACCCTTACTCTGGCCCGGCCCAGTTTTATCGTGTCTTAGTGGATTGTTCATTGTATGTTGTTTAGATTGCTTTAATTGTTTTTAATTTGCCTAGGTTTTGTATTGTTTGTATTGTGTGTTGAGGCCTCAACCTTTGTAAGCCTCATCAAGTCCTTCGGGAGATGCTAGCGGGGTACAAATAAAGTTTTTTAGTAATAATAATAATAATAATAATAATAATAATAATAATAATAATAATAAAAACGTTCCACAGGTGAGGGGGCCACCACTGAGAAGGTCCTGCCCAGAGGCAGCCCTAGGTAATTTTCAACGGTAAGCAAACAGTATTTGGAGGAATTGACACCAAATTTGGACACAACACACCTCTAAGGGCAATGAGTGACCATCACTCATAAAAACACTGAAAAACACAGCAGAAGAGACTTAAAACCCCCAAAAAACAAAAATTACATTACAACACATGCGCAAAACCACATATATACATATATACACAAATATATACACATATATAAACACACATAAAACAATATACACAGACTGTGCCATAGCAACGCGTGGCAGGGGACAGCTAGTAATATAATATAATATAATATAATATAATATAATATAATATAATATATTGTATAAACATATAATATTTATAATAATATAATGTAATACAATATACTACTAATAATAATACAATATTATCCAGTTCCCAGTGTAGTTCATCCACTAAGGCAACCAAGGCTGTTTCATTTCCAAGAGGACATAGGATTGGGACAAACTAACAATAGAGAGGAATAGAGAAATATTTTCTCTATTCCATATTTACATTGTTCTTCGCTACTTCGCAGTTCACTTTTAGTGGTTTTCAAAAAATATTAATTTTAAATATATATTGTGGTATTTTCGCTGTTTTACGGGTTTTTGCCGCTGCTGCTCTCGGAGGCGCTTTCCCTCCTCAGTCTTCCCTCCAACCTTGAAAGGCCTTTCCTTCCTTTCCTTCACTTTGTTTTAAGTTTATAAAGACTTTAAATAGTGTATAAATACTAAAATAATGTAGAAATACTAAAATAAATATAGCATCCCTACATCGCGGTTTTTCACTTTTTGCGGGGCTTTGAGATGGTAGAACAGAAGCTCTCCGAAGCTCTTACTGCCTATTACAGGGAAAACCAGCTGATCCCTAACCCATCTAAAACACAGACATGTGCCTTTCATCTCAAGAACAGACAAGCATCCCGAGCTCTGAGGATGACCTGGGAAGGAATCCCACTGGAGCATTGCAGCACACCCAAATACCTGGGAGTCACTCTGGACCGTGCTCTTACCTACAAGAAGCACTGCCTGAACATCAAGCAAAAAGTGGGTGCTAGAAACAATATCATACGAAAGCTGACTGGCACACCCTGGGGATCACAACCAGACACAGTGAAGACATCTGCCCTTGCACTATGCTACTCTTCTGCTGAGTACGCATGCCCAGTGTGGAACACATCTCACCACGCTAAAACAATGGATGTGGCTCTTAATGAGACATGCCGCATTATCATGGGGTGTCTGTGCCCTACACCACTGGAGAAATTACACTGTTTAGCCGGTATTGCACCACCTGACATCCACCGGGAAGTAGCAGCCAATAGTGAAAGGACCAAGGCAGAGACATCTCCAGCTCATCTGTTTGGGTATCAGCCAGCACGTCAACAACTTAAATCAAGAAATAGTTTTCTAAGATCTACAGAGACACTCGCTGGAACACCTCAGCAAGCGAGAGTCCAAAAGTGGCAGGCTCAAAACCCAGAACCTCAATCAATGGCTGATACCAAATGAGAGACTCCCCCCTGGGCACTCAGAGACTGGGCGACTTGGAAGGCGCTGAACAGACTGCGCTCTGGCACCACGAGATGCAGAGCCAACCTTGAGAAATGGGGCCACAAAGTGGAATCCTCAACATGCGAGTGCGGAGAAGAGCAAACCACTGACCACCTGCTGCAATGCACCGTGAGCCCTGCCACATGCACAAGGGAGGACCTTCTTGCAGAAAAACCGGAAGCACTCCAAGTGTCCAGATACTGGTCAAGGGACATTTAATCAACTACCAAACTCACAAATTTTGTATTCTGTCTGTTTGTTTGTTTTGTTCTGTTAGAAATGTAATACAACTGACTGGTTGCCCTGACACGACAAATACATTTCTCTTGTCTTCAAGTCTGTTTCCTTCCTTCCTGGAAATAATCCAGGAAGCAGAAGCTGATGGATCATGGAGTAGCATGGTTCTGTGGACCACCACTTTGGGACAATTCTGGGCACCACAATTTAAGGGAGATGTTGACAAACTGGAATGTGTCCAGAGGAGGGCGACTAAAATGATCAAAGGTCTGGAGAACAAGCCCTATGAGGAGCGGCTTAAGGAGCTGGGCATGTTTAGCCTGAAGAAGAGAAGGCTGAGAGGAGACATGATAGCCATGTATAAATATGTGAGGGGAAGCCACAGGGAGGAGGGAGCAAGCTTGTTTACTGCTTCCATGGAGATTAGGACAAGGAACAATGGCTTCAAACTACAAGAAAGGAGATTCCACCTGAACATGAGGAAGAACTTCCTGACTGTGAGAGCCGTTCAGCAGTGGAACTCTCTGCCCCGGAGTGTGGTGGAGGCTCCTTCTTTGTAAGCTTTTAAACAGAGGCTGGATGGCCATCTGTCAGGGGTGATTTGAATGCAATATTCCTGCTTCTTGGCAGAATGGGGTTGGACTGGATGGCCCATGAGGTCTCTTCCAACTCTTTGATTCTATGATCCTATGAATCTATTCCTCAGTCCTCCCTCCAGCCTTGAAAGGCCTTTCCTTCCTTTCCTTCACTTTGTTTTAAGTTTATAAAGACTTCAAATAGTGTATAACTACTAAAATAATGTAGAAATACTAAAATAAATATAGCATCCCTACATCGCGGTTTTTCACTTATTGCGGGAGGTCCTGCAATAAGCGAGGGAACACTGAACATGCGGAGTCAACCATCCACGGCTTGAAAATATTTTAATATTTTTCCCTTGATTTTCGCCATTTTAGAAAAGGCATTTTAATACACATAATGAGACTTGAGCATCCACGGATTGTGGTATCCATGGAGTGGGGAGGGAAGCAAACTGCAGTGCAGACCAAGAGCCTACCGCATTTTTTTCCCCCTGATAGCTAGAAATATTTGGGAAATCCTCCCTAATGGAAGAGATAAGAATCGTAATACAGGTTTGCCCAAGCCTGAAGCAGTTGTGCCGTTTCTTCAGTCTCCTCTTCTCCCTCCCCTTCTTTTTTTTTACTATATTTTGGAGTTATTTTCCATCGCTGCCAAGAGATTGAGCCAAAAGCAATGCACACACACATACACACATGCACAAAAGATAGCTCTGTCTCCCACATGATCTACATTCAAAAGCTAGGATCTGGACAACCCAGCAGATTTCATTTTATTTTGGTGATTAAATACATATTGGATTTATGGAAGGCAAAAAGAATAGAGAAAGATTGGGGAGAAAGTTCTTGCTGTGGGGGAAAAAAGGGGCAGCGAGGGTTGTTATAACAGGAAATTAATTTTTCCTCTTCTTTCTATTTTTTTTCTGGGTGAGTTGACTTCAAACTGTCCACAAAATATTTTATCTATTTATCCCTCCTCCTTCGGCTACCGCAGTTCAACTCACTGGGAGAAGCTTGTTTCAAAGAGTGATGTCTGCCAATCCGCAAAATCCAAAGAGGAAGCAATTGGGTGCATTTAGCATTGGACAATTAGTTAGGAGAAAAAGCAGCCTAATGAAAGACCCATCAAAGGGCCACAACTGGTCCAGCAGGAGGTGCTACAGGAGAGTACAAAGCCAATTAGCCCAAATATTAAATTGTCTGGATTATAAAGCTCTGCTTCTGATTTGCTAACAGCAAGCCAAATGCCATTTTTCTCACTTAGCTGTCTGATATCGAATTGGACCACTGGTCCATGAGAGGAACAACCAGATCAGTGATGGGTCAGACCATAAGTCTATTTAGATGTATGCTGATGACAACGTCGTCTGTGCGCGTTCAGAAGAAGATCTACAAGCCACTCTAAACACCTTCGCAGAAGCATACGAGAAGCTCGGCCTGTCATTGAACATCGACACATGGCAAGCTATTTAACCTCAGCAGACTGAAAGCCAAAACCAAGGTTACAACAACATCTGTTATAGAACTCCAATATGCTGATGACAATGTCATCTGTGCACATTCAGAAGAAGATCTACAAGCCACTCTAAACACCTTCGCAGAAGCATACGAGAAGCTCGGCCTGTCATTGAACATCGACACATGGCAAGCTATTTAACCTCAGCAGACTGAAAGCCAAAACCAAGGTTACAACAACATCTGTTATAGAACTCCATATGCTGATGACAATGTCATCTGTGCACATTCAGAAGAAGATCTACAAGCCACTCTAAACACTGTCGCAGAAGCATACGAGAAGCTCGGCCTGTCATTGAACATCGACACATGGCAAGCTATTTAACCTCAGCAGACTGAAAGCCAAAACCAAGGTTACAACAACATCTGTTATAGAACACCAGTATGCTGATGACAATGTCATCTGTGCACATTCAGAAGAAGATCTACAAGCCACTCTAAACACTGTCAGAAGCATACGAGAAGCTCGGCCTGTCATTGAACATCAAGAAAACCAAAGTGCTCTTCCAGCAGTCACCAGCCAATCCCTCTCCAATGCCAGAAATACAGCTTAATGGTGTAACATTAGAAAATGTTGACCATTTCCGCTACCTTGGCAGCCACCTCTCCACCAAAGTCAACATTGACACTGAAATACAACACTGCCTGAGCTCTGCAAGTGCAGCATTTTTCCGAATGAAGCAGAGAGTGTTTGAGGACCAGGACATCCGTAGGGAGACCAAGGTGCTTGTTTATGAAGCTATTGTCCTCCCAACCCTGCTATATGCCTGTGAGATGTGGACTGTCTACAGACGTCACATGCAACTCCTGGAACGATTCCATCAGCGCTGCCTCCGGAAAATCCTGCAAATCTCTTGGGAAGACAGGCGGACAAATGTCAGTGTGCTGGAAGAAGCAAAGACCACCAACACTGAAGCGATGGTCCTCCGCCATCAACTCCGCTGGACTGGCCACGTTGTCCGGATGCCCAAAGATCACCATCTCTCAAAGCAGTTGCTCTACTCCGAACTCAAGAATGGAAAACAGAATGTTGGTGGACAGGAAAAGAGATTGAAAGGTGGGCTCAAAGCCAACCTTAAAAACTCTGGCATAGACACTGAGAACTGGGAAGCCCTGGCCCTTGAGCGCTCCAGCTGGAGGTCAGCTGTGACCAGCAGTGCTGCAGAATTTGAAGAGGCACGAATGGAGGTGAAAGGGAGAAGCATGCCAAGAGAAACGTGCCAAGAGGAAGGCGCGTCAAGCCAACCCCGACCGAGACCACCTTCCACCTGGAAACCAATGCCCTCACTGTGGAAGAAGATGCAGAGCAAGAATAGGGCTCCACAGCCACATACGGACCCACAAGAATACTGGAAGACAATTCTCCTCGGAAAATGAGGGATCGCCTAAGTGAAGTGACTATTTAAATACAATGACTAACCAGTTGCTTATGGGGGTGGTAATCCTTCTTCCTCTACTTCCAGTTCTTTCTCCTCCTTCTCCTCCTTTTTCAAACAGGGATGTGTTATTGCCCCAACCTTACCATGTTTCCCTGAAAATAACACACTGTCTTATATTTATTTTTCCTCTAGAAGTCACACTATGATTTATTTTCAGGGGTTGTTGTTGTTCATTGGTACAGTCGTTTCCAACTCTTCGTGACCTCATGGACCAGTCCACGCCAGAGCTCCCTGTCAGCCATCACCACCCCCAGCTCCTTCAAGGTCAATCCAGTCCCTTCAAGGATGCCATCCATCCATCTTGCCTTGGTTGGCCCCTGGATCTAGACACTAGACTCCTATTGATGCAGGCCAAAATCCCACTAGCTTTTTTAGCTGCAGCATCACATAGTTGTCATATGTTTAACTTGTTGTCCACAAGGATGGATCTGGACCAAACTTGGCACAAATACTATGTCCAAATGTAGATGTCTTTTGGAATATCCCCCCCCCCCCCCCAATTTGGTGTTGTCTGCAAATTTGATGATCATACCTTCTAACCTTCATCCAAAGAATTAATAAAGATTCTGGACAGAACCGGGCTTATGTAGGTGAACTGTAAATCCCAACAATTACAACTCCCAAATGTGTATTTTCCCCAAACTACACCAGTGTTCAAATTCAGGCATATTGAGTATATGTGCTAAGTTTGGTCCAGATCCATTATTGTTTGAGTCCACAGTTCTCTCTGGAAGTAGGTGAACTACAACTCCTAAACTCAATGCCAATGTCCACCAAACCTTTTTCTGTTTGTCATGGGACGTCTGCAGCCAAGTTTGGTTCAATCCTATTGTCGGTGAGGTTCCGAATGCTCTTTCCAAGTAATTAGAACTCACAAATGTCAGGGTATTATTTTCCCCAAAACTTTCTAATATTTTCTCTTGGTCATGAGAGTTCTGCGTGCCAAGTTTGGTTCAATTCCATCATTGGTGGAGTTCAGAATGCTCTTTGATTGAAGGTGAACTATAAATCCGTCTCCGACTCTTCATAAACTCATGGACCAGCCCACGCCAGAGCTCCCTGTCGGCCGTCACCACCCCCAGCTCCTTCAAGGTCAATCCAGTCACTTCAAGGATGCCATCCATCCATCTTGCCCTTGGTCGGCCCCTCTTCCTTTTCCTTCCTTTTCCCCCAGCATCATTGTCTTCTCTAAGCTTTCCTTTCTTCTCATGATGTGGCCAAATACTTCATCTTGGCCTCTACTATCCTTCCCTCCAATGAGCAGTCGGGCTTTATTTCCTGAAGTATGGACTGGTTGGATCTTCTCACGGTCCAAGGCACTCTCAGAACTTTCCTCCAGAACCACAGTTCAAAAGCATCTATCTTCCTTCACTCAGCCCTCCCTATGGTCCAGCTCTCACATCCATAGGTGATGTCTTGTTTTTATTAAGTATGGTACAACCATCTATAGCCAATACTATAGCCCTAAACGGCTTGGGACCTGCCTACCTGTGTGACCGCATCTCTGTGTACGAACCCACACAATCTCTTCGTTCATCTGGAGAGGCCCTACTCACGATCTCACCTCCATTGCAAGCGCGATTGGTGGGGATGAGGGATAGGGCCTTCTCGGTGGTGGCCCCTCGACTCTGGAACTCGCTCCCCAAGGATATTAGGCATGCCCCAACTTTGGCAGTCTTTAAGAGGAGCCTGAAATTGTGGTTGTTCCAGTGTGCCTTCCCAGAATAAGGAAACCCAAGCAACATGTCCCTAATCACACTTTACTAATGATCTTGGATTGTCTGCTCGTTTCATCTCTCTCCAAATACCCATCCTAGTTATATGTCTCCTTGTCATGGCCAGCATTTTAAAATTTTTAATTATTACAATTGGCCCGCCATAGGTTTTTAATGCGTTGTGATATTATTGTTACTTTGTTGCTTTGTTTATGAGTTTATTTATTGTTTTATTGTTGTTGTTGCTTTTTTATTGATGTATTGTGGGCTTGGCCTCTTGTAAGCCGCACCGAGTCCCTTGGGAGATGGTAGCAGGGTATAAATAAAGGTTTATTATTATTAATAATAATACTCCAGAAGACAGGAGCAGAATTCAAAACGATCTTAACAGATGAGAGAGATGGTTGGCCAAAACTAACAAAATGAAGTTCAATGGGGACAAATGCAAGATACTCCACTTAGGCAGAAAAAAACAAAATGCAAAGATACAGAATGGGTGACGCCTGGCCTGAGAGCAGTACGTGTGAAAAAGATCTTGGAGTCCTTGTGGACAACAAGTTAAACATGAGCCAACAATGTAATGCGGTGGGGAAAAAAGCCAATGGGATTTTCGCCTGCATCAATAGGAGCCTAGTGTCTAGATACAGGGAAGTCATGCTCCCCATGCTCTATTCTGCCTTGGTTAGACCACAGATGGAATCACACTGCGTCCAATTCTGGGCACCACAATTTAAGGGAGATGTTGACAAGCTGGGATGTGTCCAAGAGGAGTTGCTCAGGGGTCACTGCTGAAACCTGGGGTTCCAGGCTCAGCGACGAGTCCAAGATCAAGTCCAAGATCACACCCAAGCTGCGAACCTGCACCTTCAAGGGGAGTGCGACCCCATCCAACACAGGCTGTAACCCTATGCCCTGTTCGGCCTTGCGACTGACCAGGAGTACCTCTGTCTTGTCTGGATTCAATTTCAATTTGTTCGCCCTCATCCAGACCGTTACAGCGGCTAAACACCGGTTCAGGACCTGAACAGCCTCCTTAGTTGCAGGTGGGAAGGAGTGACAGAGTTGGACATCATCCGCGTACAGATGACACCATACCCCGAAACTCCGGATGATCTCCCCCAGCGGCTTCATGTAGATGTTAAACAACATGGGAGACAATATTGAACCCTGAGGAACCCCACAAGACAATGGTTGTGGGGCAGAACCTGGTTAGACTGATGACCATTTCAGTCTCTTCCAACTCCAGGATGCTCTGATTCTATGACTGACAAGCAGGGATGTTTCAGAGAAACACTGTCCTATTTGGTGGTGGTTTCCCCCACTTTAATTTTAAACCCGGCTCCCCTTCTCCAAACTCTCAGCAGTAACTCCCACAGGCCAAATGCCCTTCGAAGCAGCTTCATTGTTAAAGGTGAAATACTTCTGGCCTGACATCATCATCTGAGAAAAGACCAGGTTTATAATCTAATATTTTTCCTGGTTGTAAGCCAGGATGCTGGGAATGGCAGATATTTGTGTTGTTGTGATATCTCCCCTTCGCCTTCCATCTCCTCTCCCCTTTTAAACCCCCCTGGGCAATTTCAGAATGAAAATCATACATAATCAGAATCAATTTTTATGGTATTTCAGTTTTTCCTTCTTTGTCATGTGGATAACATGTCTCTTCTTAACTTACCCAAGTGGACCAACGCTTCTTTGTCCCATGGAAAGGTGGCCATACCAGCCAGCTCTTCCTCAGAAGAGTTGGCAAAGAAGATGTTGAGGTGCGTCGACCCATTCAGATTCAGCCAGTTCTTCAATTCTTTGACATCTAGATATGCCCTGCAGCAGAAAGACACAAAGAGGCCCATATAAATGGTAGCATTCCCTCAGTGTATGGAAAATTCCCAGAACGTATCTCCAGAGGCAGCCCTAGGATATAAGGCCTGGGTAACAACGGAAAAATTTGTTTCTAAAATCGATTCGTTTTTTGGGGGTTTTGCGTTTCGATATTTAAAATAATTACAAAATTTTCCTTTTAAAAAGTTCGATATTTACGAAATTTCGTAAATGGTAAAAAATTACAAAACATTAACGAATCGATTTCCGAAACAATAACGAATCGATTCGTTAATGGCGGACGCGACCGCGAAATATGCTAAAAAACCTCCAAAACTTTCTGAAGCTTCCCTCTCCCTCTGTTGTTGACTGTTGGTGTGATATTATAATTTTTTTTCACTAATTAAACCATAAAACTGGCCCAGACATGCGGAAATAATAACGAAACGACCTCAAAACAATAACGAAACGAATACAATAACGAAATACGAAGCATTTACAAAACGTATTTAAAAATTCGGTTTTTTAAATAATTGCTCCAGAATGGTTCGTTATCGTTTTGTAATTTAAAAAATTAACGAATTATTAACGAATTACGAATTAACGAAACGAAACCGCCCAGCCCAGCCAAACAGTATTTTGGCGCCCCCCCCCCCAAACAATCATTGATATATATTTTCTGTTCATCGTGGGAGTTCTGTGTGCCATATTTGGTTCAATTCCATCATTGGTGGAGTTCAGAATGCTCTTTGATTGTAGGTGAACTATACATCCCAGTAACTACACTTGCCGCACTTGCTCCCTTGCCTGGCCCGCTTTGGGTCCGGAGGCGTGCCTGAAAACCCCGGCGTGTGCACCAAAAGTCACCTCTTCTCCTGACTTTCTCCTCAGCCATTGGGACCAAGAGAGAGAGAGAGAGAGAGGTGGAGATGCCCACCTTTCCTGAAGGTAGGCGCAAAAACAAAGGAGGGAGCGGAGGTGGGAGATACCTCCAGCCGGAGGGGCTCTCTCTCTCTCTCTCTCTTGGTCCCAATGGCTGAAGAGAAAGTCAGGAGAAGAGGCGACTTTTGGTGCGCACGCTGGGGTCTTCAGACACGCCTCCGGACCCGAAGCGGGCCAGGCGCGGCGGCTCCGCCCCTTGGCCCACCCGCGGATTGGGGAGAGGAGAGGAGGCGGGTGGAGCGCCGGGGGATCGGGAAAGGGAGCCGGTCATGGGGAAGGGATCGAACGCGGAGAACGATTGAGCGCCGGCTCTGCTCATGCACCCGGTGGCCGGGTGGAGCAGGAACAAGAGGGGCTAGGCGAGGCTCAAGGGCCCGGCCCCTTTGGGAAGAGGATCGCCCGACAGCGAGGCAAGAAAGCCAAGGCTCCCCCCGGACTGCTAGGGCTGTTGTGAGCTGAGGGGCGCTCCTCAAGTGGCGGTCGAGGGGCATTTACAGAGGCGCCTCTGCGCCCCTGGCAAAAAAAGTGTTCTGCGACCGCTTACTTTGCGTAATGGACGAGCTGCCCCTGCGTATCTCCTGTTACAAACCATCACAAAGTTTAATATCATCTGGAGAGGCCCTACTCTCGTTCCCACCGCCATCACCAACGCGATTGGTGGGGACGCGGGACGGGGCCTCCTCGGCAGTGGCCCCCCATCTGTGGAACTCTCTCCCCAGGGACATCAGACTGGCCATCTCCCTCCTGTCCTTTAGAAGGAAACTGAAAACTTGGCTATGGAACCAGGCATTCGACCAATGAATAGCAGCAAGCAGAAAGAAGACTTAGGCAACTCGTGACAATGAATTAACCCAGACTTGTGACAATGAATTAACCCAGGCTTCTTAGAATCGTAAAGGTAAAGGATTCCCCTTGACATTATGTTTACTTGTGTCCAACTCCGTGGGGTGGTGCTAATCTCCATTTCTAAGGTGAAGAGCCAGCATTATCAAGAGACACCTCCAAGGTCATGCCATCAGCATGATTGCATGGAGTGCTGTTACCTTCCCACCAAAGCGATACCTACCGATCTACTCGCATTTGCATGTTTTCAAACTGCTAGGTTGGCAGAAGCTGGGGCTAACACTGGGAGCTCACCCGACTCCGCGGATTCAAACTGCCATACATTCGGCCAAGAGGTTCTGCAGCTCAGCAGTTTAACCTGCTGCACCACCGAGGGCTCTAGAATCTTAGAATTGTAGAAATGCAGTCTTTGTAAATGTTGCTTCAGTATACAATTGCATCCATGGACACAGCTAATCACCAAATTTCTAACACTGCAGTAACTCAAAGCATCCACCGAGCATTCAGAAAGATAGCTTAGGTCTCCAAAGGAAAAGGATTGTGTCCAAATCTGGGCACCACAATTGAAGGGAGATGTTGACTCTAAGCTGGAATGTGTCCAGAGGAGGGAGACTAAAATGATCAAGGGTCTGGAGAACAAGCCCTATGAGGAGCGACTTAAAGAGCTGGGCATATTTATCTGAAGAAAAGAAGGCTGAAAGGAGATATAATAGCCATGTAGAAATACATGAGAGGAAGTCACAGGGAGGAGGGAGCAAGCTTGTTTTCTGCTTCCTTGGAGACTAGGATGCTGAACAATGGCTTCAAACTACAAGAATGGGAATTCCACCTGAGTATGAGGAAGAACTTCCTGACTGTGAGAGCTGTTCAGCAGTGGAACTCTCTGCCCCAGAGTGTGGTGGTGGCTCCTTCTTTGGAAGCTTTTAAACAGAGGCTGGATGGCCATCTGTCGGAGGTGGTTTGAATGCAATATTCTTGCTTCTTGGCAGGGGGTTGGACTGGATGGCCCATGAGGTCTCTTCCAACTCTTTGATTCTATGATTCTAATAACTTCCTGAGTGTGAGAGCTGTTCAGCAGTGGAACTCTCTGCTTTGGAATGTGGTGAAGGCTCCTTCTTTGGAAGCTTTTAAACAGAGGCTGGATGGGCATATGTCGGGGGTGCTTTGAATGCAATTTTCCTGCTTCTTGGCAGGGGGTTGGACTGGATGGCCCATGAGGTCTCTTCCAACTCTAGGATTCTATGATTCTTTGCCAAATTCCCAAGGAAATAAGTGCAAGATTTTCAGTGTCTCGCCCTTTGCTAGAATTTGGCGATCCCAACTCTTGAGAAACTGTCAGAAAATGTTGCATCGCCTTAACGAAATTTGGTGACACTGCCGTCTGGTTTCTCTGCCCTCGGATAGGATGGAACATTTTGAGAGACCCATAACAGAAAGCCTAAGAGAAGGAAGAGAAGATGCCATATGTGTGTGCGTACGCGCATGGGTGTGTTTTAGAAGCCAACAGGAAATCTGATGTCAAACCTGGTCTTGTGCATGAAAGGACATTGATCCTCTCTTGATGCCTCATTAGCAATGCAGACAAACACCTCATGGGAAAATACTGAGCGGATCAGATACTCGGTGCGCAGATACACGAAATGTGCATCCCCAACGCAAGCCGAACTCCAGGCACTGCGATGTTTTGCATCGCTTTAGAAGGAGAGGCAGGCAGCCACCCAAATGGACAAGAACCGGAGCACAGAAGCCAAGCGTCCTTTGGTCATGTTACAGCCTCCTTCCCAATGGTATTTTATTACAATGTTTGAGCCTTTCAAGGTGACACATGGGACTGTTTCGGAAGCATGGCTGGGGATAGCATTGCCTTCCCAAGTAAGAATTCCAGCCTCAAAGGCAATTTTAATTCATTCCCCAAATTTCGAGCATTGCAGTCACTCCGTAGAGAAAAAGCAGGCAAAGCGATTCAGGGAATACAAACACAACAAATCAAAGAGGTCTAGTTATGAACCATTTCCAGGCTCCCACTCTTCCCAATGTTAGAAATTTGGGAACGAATAGGGAATTTCATCGCAAGGCAGAATATCGTATATACTTGAGTATAAGCCGACCCGAATATAAGCCGAGGCACCTAATTATACCACAAAAAACTGGGAAAATGGGTTGACTCGAGTATAAGCCGAGGGTGAGAAATGCAGCCGCTATTGGCAAATTTCAAAATTAAAATAGATACAAATATGATTTCATTAACTGAGCCATCAAGAGGTTAAATGTTTTTGAATATTTAAGATAAGACTGCCCAACTCTGATTAAATCATTCTGACCGTCTTCAATGCAAATGTGCTTGTGTATCCTCCTGTGACGATGTGTAACTTTTATTCTTATGGTTATGTGTTGTTTAAACAGTAGTTAATAAATGGTAAGTATGTAGGATTATATTTTGTTAGAGATAGTGGCTGGTTTGGCTTGAGCAGAGTTGCCATAGCAACGGGGGCGGAGCCAACTGTCACTTCATGGGGCAGCTGTTTGAAAGTGGCAGTCTGTAAGCCAGTGAGCTACAGGGAAGAATGATTTCTCTAGTAGGAGAATCAGGGAAGAGTCTGTGACCGGTAGAGTTACAGGGAAGACTGATTTCTCTAGTGGGAGAATCAGGGAAGAGTCTGTGACCGGTAGAGTTACAGGGAAGACTGATTTCTCTAGTGGGAGAAACAGGGAACTAGTCTGTGACCAAAGAGTTACAGGAGAAGGTAGTTGATCCTGTGGTGTGTGGGAAACCATCAGGAATACTATAGTTAGAGAACTATAGGGAAGACTGGTTCTTTAATTTTAAGAATCAGGGTTTGGCTGGGAGCCAATTCTGTTAAATAAGCCTTTTAGCTTATTTGTTTTATTAGGACAGTTGTCCAGGAAAGATACATCTGCTTATAGAAACCTCTTAAAGTCTGTACCTAAAGTTATTCATGAAACCTTACTAATGTAAACTATCAAGATTTGTGCCTCTTGGGAAGAAACAATCGAATCTGTTATACCTTGCTTGTTCCAATAAAATTGTTACTGTTCTCCTCAAGCCTGGCCTGATACAGTTTCTCCCAAGTCAAACAGCCTGCATAAGCAGCAAAACCAAACCAGGGACATTAAACGCTATGCTATCAAATAAATAAATAAATACTTCTGTAACTAATAGTCYCTTTATAAACCAGCTCCTAAGTTGATGCTGAGAA